TACAACAAGCATATGTGTATCAGGAGTAACAGTAGTTGTAATACAGCAAAGAGTAAATTCATCAGTGACAATACAAGTTCTGTAGTTATTTTAAAGAATGTTGATAACTGTTAAATAAAAATGTTAGGTTATAAGATATTTATAAGTATAGATATGACTCAGAATTAAATGAAAATGAGGATTCAGTATACTGTGAAATGTACAAAGATTTTACCGAAGATTCAATAGCTAAGATTAGTTATCAGAATTCATAGAAAATAATCGTCTCAAAAAAAAAAAGGTGCTTAGAAATTTCAAATTACTTTACCATGTTACAATTGGTTAAAAAATATATTCTGTTAGTTTTTTATTTAATAATTTAAGAGGGAAAAGATATCAAAATTTTCAGTGATGGCTTCATTTTTCTTTTCTTTTTTTAACATGCAACGTGTGTTAGCATGTGCAATACTCTGTCTTCATCAGTTGTGATATCAGGGGTGATATCACAGTTTCAGTTGCTATGGCAGGACCGCCACCCCTGGTGCCACCAGCAGTGTTTGCCACCAGGCAGGGTATGAAGATAAGCTAATTGATCGTTCCTTTTTGTAAATTCTATCCGTAATGAAAGTTTCATGAACGCGTTTTCATAAAAATCGTTACAGACGACCACGTAAATATTTCATTTGTGCATGTTAGGTCATGATGTTGCATGCATTTTATTTGCTTGTTTTGATCTTGAAACGCTCTTCAACCAATGACCAGTGATGCCTATTTTTGAAAGGGAGGAAATGACCGAATGTCCCAGAAATCCACGACACCCAATCTCAATAGGCATCACGTTACACGTCCAACCATTTTCCCTACATTCGGCATGCAGTGACTCGTACCGGTTTTTCTTTAGTTCATGCGCCTCCACCTTGTTCTCTTCCCAGATCATCTGTAAGTAACAACAAAATATGAACTTAATGTCTAGTGCACCTGTACAAATGTCTCAAGTCAGCTCATGGAAATGTATGAGTGACTCAACTCAGGTGATGGAATTGTATAAATGTCTTTTGACTCAGACTGGAGAATTGTACAAATATTTTAACTCAGGTGTTTGAATTGCACAAATATCTTGTTTCAGGTCATGGAACTGTACGAATGTCATGTTTTAGGTCATTGAAATGCATGGATGTCTCAACTCACGTTATAAAACTGTATGAATGTCGCAACTCAAGTCACGGAACAGTACGAATGCCTTGTTTTAGGTCATGGAACTGTATGAATGTCTCAACTCATGTTATAAGACTGTACAAATGACTTCACTCAGGTCATGGAACTGTATGAATATGAATATCTTATTTCAGGTTATGGAACTGTACGAATGTCTTTCAACTTGGGTGGTGGGGCTGTGCAGTAAATGTGTCTCAACTCAGATGTAGTGAAAATGTACGAATGTCTCAACTTCACTTGAGTGGAGACATTGCTACAGTTCCACCACCTGAGTGGAGACATTCATATGAATGTTGTTTCTTTATTAATCAGAGGCTACAAGATTCTATTCATCTTTATGTTAGGTATCAATTAAGAATGTAGTTCAATAACATTTGTGAAACCAGCTTGTTAACCACTCTCCTAATATACTGTTCATTATTCTATTAGAGAGAAGTCATATACGATAAAGAAGAAACATATTTTGGCAACTATTTTACATGAACTTCTTTGCTCATAGTTCCTCAGGGATAATGCTTCAACCTTGGGTTTTACAATTAAAAACTTTGTATAATACATTACTATTATTATTATATTTGATGTATTATTATTATTATAATACATCACTATTATAAAGCCACTAACTTCTCTTAGAGGATTGATGTTTTTGAATAGAAATAGATTACAAAAAGAGTCACTTTTTTATATATACTAATATTCACCCAATAGAAAGCCCAAGAGCCTCCCAAGGTAGATATTTATTGTGGGATTGTATAAGCATGTTTCATTGTTATTTTATAATGGCTTCCTAACTTAAGGAGCCCACAAACAAGAATAAATACAAGGTACTAAAAGAGGAAAGGAAAAGGGTGACAAAATATGTTTATCGTTTTTATTAATTAAATGCAACAATGTAAAACAAAATATTATAACATGACATAAGCATTGTACTTACAGTCAATGAGGTTTGCACTACAAGATTACCATCTGGGTGGGGGCAGTTTAGGTGATCAACTACCATCTATGAATATCTTTGCTCCCCATGGTGTGAATCTGGATGCTGGTTGTACCACAGTAACTCTAACCTCTTCTTTTCTCTGATTTGGTATTTAACTGTGGCAAGGGCCTTAATCCATCTCGGTTGTCTCTACTGTGCCAAGGGCATTAACTCACCTCACTTATCTATCTACTAGGTGGAGTGTAATATCTAAAACCTTACAAGCATAAGAAAGAGCAAGAAATGAAGTTCATGGGACTATGCAGGAAAGATAAAGGTTAACCCTTGACTTGAAGAAGTCAAGATTATAGTGACTGGGTTTGCTTTGGTTTATTTTGTTTTACGGCATATCAACTTCAATGGGTTACTTAATGCTGACAAAATTTTTAGGATAGGTTCATATGAATAGAATACGTATTCTTTGTAAGAAATTAATTTGTAGATCAGATTTCATTGACATTTTTTGTAAAGAAGGTTTTTGTCGGGTTGTTAATATTTTTTTGTTTTCAAGAATGTTTTGCTGGTAATCAAAAATATATTGCTGGTATTTTTACTGTAAAAATCTATTTTTATACTTGCATAGTGTTTTGACCCTATTTCAGGAGTTAGCTATTTGCCTATAGCTGGGACCCTAACATGTGCTACCACCCTGGATTAAGGTGAACCTAAGAGCAACAGCAATTAAAAAGTGGTTTTACACTCCTCAAAACTTCCTGATCAGAGGCCTTCCTGCTAGATGTAGTTTATTGTCATACCGATGACACATAGTGATTAGGAAAATTTCCTATCAGGTGTCTGTTCCACAGAGCAACAGTTTTTGGAAGAAGCTGTCCAGTTGGAATTTACTTTTTACTATAGGAATATGAAGTGAATGAGAGTGATTCAGCTTTATGTAATGTATGTGAGATTAACCTCAGTCTTGTGTTAGTGTGTGATGCCAAAATATAAAAATGAAATATTAAAAAAATATTTTTAAAAATTAGAATAAGGCATATGCTTAAAAACTTGATATCACTTTTTCTCTCTCTTTCTACCTTTCTCTCTCAACTAATGTGAAAGCAACTCTCATATAAAAAAAAGTAGGAAGAAGAAAAGACTAAACAACCACTGCAAAATGGAAGTTTGCTAGACCAGGGTCTAGTTATTGTGATTAGAAATCAACTAAAACAAGAGAGGCTACACAAATAATTTCCACTAAAAAAAAAAGAAAGTGAAAAATGCTGAAGAATAAATAAAAGAATTTTGGCCAATCAAAAGAACAAAGAAACTTTTAATGTTAACCAAAACCATGCTTTGTGCCAAGTAGTCTAGAGCCTTTCAAAATGTATATAAAGAGACAGTCAACAGACAATAGCTGAGGAGACAGTCAGAAACCATTCTGAGTGTGTTGTATTTTTGTTCTTTTTGAGGGCCAAGTATACATGACAGATTTACACCACAACATATTTCCAAAGTAACCACACTTCCAACAGCTACCAACAAGATTTTTTTTTTACTAATGTTCACCTAATACATGGCCCAAGAGCCACTCAAGGTAGAGGGTTACTGTGTGGAGTTATATTAGCATAGGAAAGGACAAGCATTAGGAGTATAGAGCTGAAGTAGACTTTTAGAAGGAACCAGAAACCCAATCCTAAACAGGAAACAAGAGATAAATCTCTACTCCTGTTCAAAAGGCCCAGGATGAGTGTGAACCAGATGGTAGGAAAACCTACCTGATGACTACTATCAAAGTCTGACTTGTAAACTAACAACTACCAAGTCGAACAAACTTTTGCCAACCAGATTGAAGTCGATCAAATAAACATAAATTATTTGCTTATATTTTTGATTATACTCCTTTATTTTGAAGTCTTCCAAATTTTCCAATAAATATCACTGAGACCCTCTGGTGCTTCTCAACACTAGACAATAAAATTTAAACGTTCATACCTCTTATAAATGTATTAGCACAAACTGACAATAGCTGTCAATAATTGTAATCTGAAACAATTCAGTTTTATTTTATTATATCCTTCTATTTGATTGTTTTGTATTTCACAAAGAAATTGGTATCGAATGGTATAAAAACTGGGTCAGTTTTTTTTATTATCTAACCTCCTCAAGCCATCTACCTATCTGCCCTGTCTAATCCATCTTGGCCAGTTTGTTTCAACTCCACCCAGATTTGATCCCTTTTATAAACCATAAATCATTGTACTTTAGTAATGTAGTTTTATCTATTCTGTATGGTGATAATTCCTATCATGGTACAATGGTTAACAAGGTTAGATTAATTCACTTGTGTATCAAGTTTTATTCCTATTGGATGACTTTTGACTAAGACCTTACACTTGATTAAGAAACATCTGATAAATTACTATAGACATCACTGATTGAGAAATTATTGGATTAGTTCTATTGCCTATCAAGGGAAAAACAAGATAGGTAAATATGATTCACCTGAGAAAATAAATGATTTTAAGAGAGCGAAGTACATATAAAAAGAATAGGTAAATTCTTTTGGGCTTCTACAAAAATGTCTTTCCTAAAAATAAACATTTTTTTTCATGTTGCTATTGAATAAGCTCTCTAGATCACAAATGTGAAAATAAAAAACATTTTTGAAAATTTTCTTTTAAGAGAGGGTTCAGTTTGCTATATAAAATCAAAATATATTGATCCCCACTTTGCAAACTTCCCCACCATGCAAATGAGACTTATACCACATATATATAAGCATATTCTTGCTTATCTTAGAAAATTTCAAATGATTTAAAGTTAAAATAATAAAAAAAAAAACATTTATATTATTTAAAGCATATTCTCACTTACCCATATCAGCTCATAGCCATAACATGTTAAAACACTGGTTCTCATATGATCACCAAAGTTAAGCTACATTGAGCCTGGTCAGTACCTAGGTGGGTGACCACTTGGGAATACCACATGCTTTAAGATTGGATGTGCAAGTGGTGTAATGGTTAATGAATTGAAATTGGGAATCGAAGCAACAAGTTCCATTTCCAGTTGGGTTTGTTATATTCACTTATGTGTGAATACTGTTCAGAATTATATGAACCTACCACTTCTCACCCCATCCATGGGTTAAATAGTATGACTTGTATCAATAAATCATTATAATCTCCAAAATATTCTTACAATCTAAAAAATGTTTTCTGACTTTAAATAACCAGCAACGGGTTAATAAGCTGTAAAAAAAACAATCAATCAGTAAAAGGTTCATTTTGTATTGTGTTAAAATAATTCTTACATTTAAAAATTTTAAATAATTTCAAAATAGCTGCAAAATGTGAATTTAAAGCATTTTCTTATTTACCTTTCCTCTTTATTATTATTATTATTATTATTATTATTATTTCTTTTACTTAATTTTAATTATTTCGCCTGTGTAGGGGAATCAATTTATAATGAACATACTGTAATGACAAAGGTATGCAGGTGTAGGCTTTAAGAAAGCTTTATTCAACTGAGAATACAATGTTCATGTATAGTGTCCTTTATAGTCCCAGTAAACAGAAGTAGCTCTCTCAAAGAGGAGAGTAACAAAACAAGGGGTGACTACTCTTGATTATTCATAACACATCCATAATTAGATGAATCCCCCTCTTAAAATTTATAAAATTATTTTTTTTATATTCATGGAAAGCTTATTTGATAGTAGTTGAAAAATAAATTAGAATAAAAAATATGATTATTTCTTGGAGCGTTGTGTTTTATTTTTTTAGAAAAGCCAATTGTTTATGTCGTTAAGGTTGTTAATAACAACAATCAGTCTGCTGAGCTTTTTGTCAGACGGGTAGGATTAGTTATTAGATCTTTGACAAATATTGTTGGCTTTCTGGAAGGCAATGAACAAAATCACCTGATACTTGTTAATTGGCATCTTCAGAGTAAACTCAACCCATGATACCTGCTTGGCATGTTTTGTCTTTCAATCAATGCCTTTGTTTCTGTCTATTTGATTTACACTGTTTTTACTTATTTTTTATCCTGTAAAGATTTTCAGTAAATCTATCAATCCCAACACATTCTTTCTATCTCTATAAGAAATGATGCTATTTTATGATGTTGGATGGTTTTGCGTGTCACTTTTGTTATGTCAAATGAAAGCTTATTATCACTTCAAAAAATGCTCGTTATATTTGAGCCTTCATAGATGCTGGTACTAGTAGTAACGCCTTCCACACTGGTAATACTTGTTCAAGTAGTAATCGCCAAGTTAGTATAATGATCAGAAGAGAATTGTAATCTGTATAGTAGTAGAGTAAAGAGAGTAAATGTATAGCAATAGTGACTAGACAAGAAGAGTGAACAGTGATCCTTACACTACTTCGTATTTATTCACCTCCTTTATGATCCTTTATTGTCCGTGTTACTCACTGGTAATCTAGTTTCAAACTTCAGTGTTGGCAATGACACATACTCTTATACAACAATAAGAAATGTCATAAACTATTTAAATATTACATGAGTTAGCATTCCCCCCTTCTTCCTATAAATAGTCATTTAGTAATTCTAGTAGTTTGTACTTGACAAGTAGTTGAGTGAAGCTTGGATTCACTTCAAGTCTCTCTTCAGTTACTTATGACTTACGACAACTAACTCAACTAGTTTAATGGCTGAATCTAATTCGAATATAGTATGGTGACCTAAAAGCCTAGACATCGATCCTAGCTCACTCACTGCAGCAAAAGAATGGTGTCATTGGTGTATAGTTTTTACAAACTATGTCAAGGATTATGAGGAAAAAAAGTTGGACTCCATTTTTATTAAAACCCCAAATGAGATTTTTGCAAGACATTTACTTGTTACAAGAAAATAGGAACCTAATGGAAATCTGAATGACTTCTTCAAGGGACTTGAAAAACTAAGACAAGATTGCGATTTCATTGACCGTACAGCCAAACAATGTGGGGACAAAGCTATGTGAAATGCTTTTATTAATGAAATTGTTTCTCCAGCAATACATCAAAGACTGCTGGAAAATAAAACATTAAATTTACAGACAGTTTATGATTCAAGCTTCAGCACTGAATTCATCACAGAAGAATAACAAAGCTTATATTGTCCCCTATTTCCTCTTTGGCTGTTGTAGTTAGTGAGAGTAACCCTTCTGGCAAAGATAATAAAATTAATATCTTAAACTCGTCTGAAACAACAATGTTAGCTGAGAATTACAAGCACAGGGTTACTAATAAGAAAGCTTGTTTTTTGTGTAGCCATGCCATCCCAAAAGAGAATAATTGGCCAGCTTGAGAAGCCATATGTAACATGTGTTCTAAAAAGGGACACTTTACTAAAGTGTGTCAGTCTCAGGTAACAAATGCCACAAGTGCTACTGTGTTCTCTACCAATATAGCAGTAAGTAAAGAAGTGCCAGGTGGACTTTCAGTATTCTGTGATGATTATAACTATAAAAAGATAAATATTTAATGCCTTACTTCACTCTTGTAATTCTGAAAGATTCATTTGCAAAAACACAGTTTATTCTTTAAAATTAAAATGTATTCCTTCATCAAAACAGGTAACTATGATGCAAAAATGTCTAAGGAGTCAATCTAGAGGATTTGTTGCTGTTTGTCTCAAACTTAATGATAGACTATATTTGGCCATTTACTTGAACTGAGTATTATGAAAGATGTGATGTGATGCTGTGGAGGAATTTTTAGCGTCAGCACCAGAAAGTTATTTTCAAATATGGCGGTCATCTTCCTGAACTAGTTATGAGAAATACACGAACATGCTATGCTTTGCATCTATATTCAAACCAATAACTAGGAAATCTAGATTCTTTAATCAAGAAGACCAGAAATTTATCGATATCAAGATAAATAAACTTTTAGCTAACAAAATTATTGAACCAATTATTTTGTCATGGCATGCCCAAGTCATTGCTGTTAAAGATGAAACCAGAAGGCACAGGAAGAGATTATGTGCGTATTATTCACAAACAATAAATATATATATACTGAACCTGATGCATACCCGTTGCCAAGGATTGATGATCTAGTTATAAAGCTTACCAAATACAAGTAGTTTTCAACCTTTGACTTTAAAAGTGCCTATCACCAAGTTAAAATAAAACAATCTGACAAAAAGCATACTGCTTTTGAAGCCAATGGTCAACTTTATCCGATTAGTTGGCTTCCTTTTGGAGTAACTAATGGGGTCCCTGCTTTTCAACAATCAATGAACAAGATCATAAAAGAAGAAAACCTTATCTTGATAATATTATTATTAGTGGTGAGGCTGAAAGGGAGCATGATAAGAATGTCAAAGAATTTCTGAAAGTTGTAAAAAAAAACAAACTCTTAAATGCTGCTAAAACTATTCAGGTTTAGGGCATTGTGTGAGAAATGGCATCATTAAACCTGACCAGAATGGATGAAGTCATTACAAGAAATGGATTTCCCCCAATGACATGAGAACACTTAATAGGGTCAGGGGATTATTTGCATATTATGTACCTTTTTTATGATATTATTTTTATTTATTAGTAATTTTCATAAGAGATGTACATAAAAATTATAGGTACGCCACTTATGAAATTTTATCTCACTCTCAATTATGAAATTTTCAACTTATTTTTTCTTATTGTTAGTATCTTAAATTTTATTTTTCCAGAAAGCATCTTCAAATGTAAAGCTATATAAAAAAATCAATTAAATATTATATTGCTGAAAGTATTTGTTAATTTTTTTAAAATTACTGTGTAGTTAAATAAGTTAGTTCACTTAAAATTCAAAAAAATTATATCACCTCTGTTCTTTCATCTGATAACTTCCTCCAGACCTAAGCTGTCAATATATCAATGTAACTGTCAGTTAACACCACAAAAATAAGTTACCACAGTTAAGACATGCTACTCTTTTTTTCAACTACATTTTTTCTGCTAAAAAACTAAAAAAGTAATGCTTGTTTCCAATTAGATTAAGCAAACATTACATTTTCTAATTTTCCTCAAATAACTTTTGAAAAAGGCATAATTTATTTTACAATATTTTTAAACAGAGAATTTAACTTTTGTTTACAAATTTCTCAAAAATGGTGAACAACACAGATTTTAATGGTATTCCACTGATGAAAAAAAATAAGATTTTTAATCAAGATTTCAAATGTTCTAAAAAGAATGGAAAATTCAATTTCAATAGAATAATCAAAAAATACTTTGGTCTTTCCTCTTCATGATAACATAAACATCTTGAAGATAAAAAATTTGTTTTCATCAAGTTTTGGGCCTTTTTTCATCATGGTATGTTCTTTTTTAGAGAAAGAGTGGTGATACCTGAATTTTCAGATAAAATACATCCCCTAGTTAAAGTCAATTGATTTCTACAGAATAAACATGTTCTCTACACTTTTGAATCCCTAGAATCCAAGATATGTAAAGCAATGCTCTGGACTGTTGAAGAAAATTTACCTTTTGAGGTAGAATGCAATGCTTCAGATAATACTGTATCTGTGGTACTAAGTTAGAATGGGAGGTCTGTTGCATTTATGTCAAAAACACTTCTAGGAAGTGAAAAGGGGTATAATATAGTCAAGAAAGAAGCTTTGGTGATAATCACTGCAATGTGTGAATGGTGGTATCTTTTGCCGCAATGTCACTTTGTTATATACCAATGCCAGGTCAATGTCATTTATGTACAATAATAGAAGGTGTACAAAAGTAAAAAATGCCAAAATCAGCAAATGGAGAATGGAGCTTGGTGAACTAAGTTTTGATATCAAATATTGACCTGGAAAGAGTAATGTCGTTGCAGATGCTTTTAGTTGTGTCTATTATGTGTCTGTAAATTCTGAAGGTCTGACTCTTTTGGATTTACATGAGGAATTATGCATCCAGGAGTATCAAGAACTGGAGCAAAGAATGACTCATTGTTAATTTTAACACCTCCCAAACTAAACTGCTCTCTATTAATCATCTGAG